AAAATAGGAAACAACGATTGGTATAGAAAGATTTTGTACAAAGTGGAACGTGATTTTGTACAACGTGCGAATGGTATCCTGTTTTGAACGGTGACGTTCGGTTACGTTTCTCAATTTTTGAAAAATTGTTAAGATGAAAGAGGTGTTCAGAATGGTGGTGTTGCTTTATTACACGTGATTGATAGCTTACGTAATAAAGGACACCTTGCTATCGCTCCTTGCTGGGGGTTGAAAGGATTCGGGGTTGGTGTTATACGAGATAAGGTAAACGTGTTTACATTACACTCAATCCCGTTTATTATGGAAAGCAACATCTGTTAAAATAATTCCTAACCGCGGCGTAACTGTGTCCTTATCGGTGGCCGACATCTGCGTGTGTGTTCAGAATTTGCAACACAGTATGATATGTGAGGTAATAGTATAGTTAAACGAGCTATGGTATACCGTGAAAATATAGAAATTTAATGAAACGGATAGATAATAATAATGAGCGTATTCTTACATTTCACGAGTTACGATATTAAGAAAGTTATTCGTTATTGAGAAATGGTCACAGTCTGTGACAATGAAAACACGTATCACACACTTTCTATAATGATATTTTCAGTGGAATTCTCATATACAGCTAAAACAATTAAAACTGAATATTAATAAATTATTGATCAGCGGTTTAAAAATTAGGATTATACTTACTTCAGTGTCTTTCGAGTTGAGTACTTCTTGCAATTCAACGCATTTCTCGTTTGCTTCCTTCAATGCTACAGATCGATCATCTACGATAAAAAAATATATTTGGATAATTATTTGTCTGGGATACAAACGTAAAAAATTTTATTTATCCTTTGTATTCTCTCCTTTTGAATTTCCCGCCATTTTATACGTGCACGCTCGATAAAACAGTCGCTTGTATTGAAAGCCGTCAGTAATTATGTTACACGACAACAGACAATAGCTTGCGTTGATTATATATTTTAAAAAACATTGTACACACCTATTTCTTCTACAATGCCCTCGGATAAGACCTCCTTCGTAAAGTTTGTTATGTGTCCCTTTAAATTCGACAAGCTAGGCAGCCCGTCACCTAACCACGCCATTTTACACGTCGACACTTATCGCCGAATGTATTTTTTAAGAATTATTTGAACACTGTTTTGTGAAATTACATGCACTGCATATTTTGGTAAAGTTATACACGTCAACAGCATAAAAGTACCAAAATATGAACTAACAGGAACCACGTAGTAATCTTCACAAAATATACAAGTTAGTTATAAGCATTGTAGGCAACTCCACGTAAAAAAGTACTAGACTTTTTGGGACCTTTGTGTTTTCGATAACAGTATATCATGTGATGGTAAGAAAATTGGAACTATTAAAATTTGTAAATATATATAGAACCACCTGTTTTGTTTATTTTCTTTTGACTGTGCAAACAGTAGTATATTTTTATGCTAAGAAAACTGAATACAGATGTCTACCATTATCGACAAAGACATTTCTTAATTATTCAGCGTGCCTACAGGGAGCAGCACTAACGACTCTGTGTTGTAACGTAATTTTTGGTGAGAAAGGAACAGTTTCCAAACAGGAACTGTTTGGAACAGTTTCCGCGCGAAGAATTATTATACAAATTAACTTCGCAATCAATTATGCAGCATAAATCGTGAAAGTTGAGAGGTATTTAAAACTATTTTCTTTTACGCAATCATTCTATAATTGTCCGGTTTAGTTAAGTTCTTCACCAAGTGGCTTTTGTATTTTTTGTTTAAGTGAAACATGAGCTATTAGAAACGTAAGCATGATTAATCAGCAAGCTTATTGTACATTCATCATATTCGTTATTACACATACCACTCGTGTGTTTACCTAATATAACGTTTCATGTGTGCTACAAGCAAGCACATAAATATTCCAATAAATGTCACTTGCATTCGACATACTAAATCATCGTAAGCCATCGAAAAGAATCGTCGGTAACGTTTGAAAGCGCTACGGTCGTTCGTCGAAACACACACTTGTAACACCTGTTTTAAATAGGACGCTCTCGCGTCAATTTACTTCTTCACTCCGAAGCAAATAAATTGCCCGGTTTTCTCTATCCTCTCTCGTGACTCGTAATTCGAGAATAAAAACCCTTTGATGCGGGGAGAGGCTGCATATCATTCAGAAAAGTGGCTTAATGTTCAACGAGGACGATTCAAAAGGGACCTCCTTCTGTTTCACCGTTTCTTTTTTCCCTCCTCTCGTTCCTTTAATTCGTGTCGCGTGTTGCCTTTTATTTTTAGGAAGTCAGCTCGATTGCATGGGCATTATGGAATAGCACCTTTTTACGGGGCTTCTTTCTCTCTGGCGTGTACCAAAGTATTAGGAAGAATGGTGAGCACGAGGCCGAGGTCCTCAACAGAGGAAGGTGAGTAGCGGTTGAGAGAGGGACAGACGCTTCGCTATGCTCGTGCTTACAGGCAGTGCTGTATCCTCTCGCCGGGGTACTTGAAGCCAAAAGGGCGCGCGATTCAATTTTATTTTTCAACGTACGAAAAATTTACAAATTTACACATTTGTCGCACAACCCATTTTCTATCGATAAATTATCATTTTTACAACAAATTACAATATTTAAACAGCGAATTTTATCTTTTTCAGAATTCTCTAAGGGCAATACTTAAATCGTCACAAAAACCTGCACACTTGTACAACATCGTTAATATTAGAAATAATAAGAACTTAGAATTTATTTCGAACTGAAGTTACTTATTACCACGATGACATAATTCCCAAACTATGCGCGAGATACTCCTACGATTCCTTCGAAAGGAACAGATAAGTCATTTACAAGAACAGCGATATTTCTAACCTCAAAACAATTAAACCAATTCTCCATTAAAAACAAACAATTCTATATCTTTCAGTTCGAAGCTCGATTACAACCAAAACACGAAATAAAGGAATAAAACCGTCTACAGTTAAACGGCAAGTTCGTTTCAATTCACTAACGATCATACCACACGAACGGTCACTCATTTCCGTTCTGAAATCCCAATTTCGCCAACAGGTCTTACCCGAAATTCCTGCGGCGTGTTCTCCGTGGCAGGAATCGGCCGTATAATTGCAACAACTTAACCGAGCAACAATCGGCGTTGAAAAGGTTTCGGTGGTCGCGTGACGCGGCGCAATTTCGAGCACGGGATGAGCAGCAGCAGCGAGCCGAGCCGAGCCGAGCCGGGCGAACATCGAAAGAAGAGTCCCGAGCGGCGAGCTACGTCACTGTCCACGCTATCACGATTAACAGAGTGAACAGCGGCGAGAGACGTGAGCGCGTGTGCGAGCGGGACGGAGCGTGTGGCGAAGGAAAGGTAAAGGAAAGGAAAGGAAGGCGCGCAAGGTAAAGGCACATCTGAATCCTTCGGTTGACTCGGCTCAGTCTGATCCGAGCCAAGCCACTGCCCTGATCCCGGCAGCGTTCCTCGCTCTCTACGCGCGCGCCTTCGATCCGCTCTTTTCCTCTTCTGGCTCCTTTGACACGCTCCACACACACACACACAGACCGCTCTCTGCAACAGCCTAATCCGTCGGTGTCATCGATCGCCGATCCGACTTCCTTCCTCCGCGTCGGTTCTCGCTGCGCGGTCAGTTCAAGTCGCGGTGAGCTTCCGTTCCCGTCGAGTTTCGTCCGACAGACGAAAATCACCACCTGACATGTCACAGTGCACGCACCAGCACCGTGTCGATTTGTTCACGCGCGTCCAGTGAGCAACGAACAAAACCACGATTCTTCGATACAGTTTTTATATATATATATGTATAGTTCTCGTTCATAAGTTTCTTCGTTTCTTTGTTTTTTTTTTTTTTGGCTAGTTTCTCTTTTCTCTTGTTCGGTTCAAATATTTCGCTTTTTCTTCCGACTCGTGACTCGTGCGCGCGTTAGTTCGTTCTTCCGTTCGTGCGAATACCGAAGAATTTCTGTGGATCCTACCACCGGCTGCTTCACGACACACCGGAAGTGTGATGACCCTTCTAGCGAGACACGCTGCATTGATCAACGCGGCGACAGCGTGCCTTCGATCTGGGATCTGAGTTTCGCGGTCAAGGTGCGTACCATTGAACTTTCTTCACGCTAACTTCACCTTCGATCTTTAGTTACTTCTATTGTTTATTCTTCCTCTGTGCGCGCGTGCGCGTATGTGTGTGCCTTTGTTTCAAAGTGACTTCGTAGCTTTATTCAATCCCATTTAACCGGTCGATTCTTTTTTTAAACAGACACTTTGCATTCTTTATCTTTTATTTCATTCGGTGTAACAATGTATCTACAAGTTTCGATGCTTGGATTCTTATCGATGTGAAGAATATACTCGAGGGACTATTATATTTTTGTTTCGTTTGCGATATTATTCTTGGTACTTCGTCACGCTGTGTACTTTCTCTCTCTCCCTTTGTCCTATCGACGAAAGAGAGGAAGGACGGAGGGAGGGTCGAGGCAATGGGAAAAATTTATCGTCGGTATAATTTAATGCCTCCTTAAAGCCCCGATCGACGAATGCTTAATGTGAGACGAGAGCGTACTTTGTATTGTATTCCGAAACGCATCGTCGACGCTCGTGTTCCTTCCGATGCTGCTTCTGAAAACGTCTCAGATAAATGAAACATTTTTCCCGCTTCTTTACGGTAGACAATGGGCTATTAGCTGTAAGCACCAATTATGGGGCTGTACGGGCGAGCTTCTTTTTCCTGGATAGAGTTGTGCGCGAATAAAGTAAGCCGGGAGTTGAGTTGAGTCGCGTCTTCCGTCGACGTAGGGGATGGTGGGCTTGACGAAACCGGAAACGAGCGTCAAAGGGACCAAAGGAACTCGCGGATTCGTTCGATTTCGCCACGTGTAAAGCTCTGTCGTGCAGCGGACTCGTGAAACTAATTAGACGAACTTCGTTCTTTACGGTGGTGTTTTTGTTGGATAGTACTGTTACTCCTTACCAGGGTCGATGAAACTTTTCTTTTCTCTTAACACGTCTCTGAGCATCTCCTCTATCCTTCGAATTATTTTCACTCACTTAACTCTTTAAGGAATTATTTTTTGGTAGCGCGCGCTCAGTCGATTATTGTCTAAAAAAGCGTATAAATTTTATTCAAATGAGTTTGTTCAAGCTGTGTGCATATTATTATTTTTTCCCCCCCGTTTCTGCAGACACAATGTCCACAGAGCGTTTAGAAGATAAAAACGCCTTGTTCGACCGCAAAGACTTAATATCCGTATTCATTAGTTTTACCTCATGAAACACTCGAATTGCGCATTTTGTACGATCTATTACAATAGATAATACCATTCTGTCACGGGAATTGGCGCGTCACAGATATGTGCCGTTTGATAGCGAACTTACAGTGAGTCACGGCCAAAATCGTACTCCGCGTATAAAGATACGATTCGCCTAATAAAAAAGATCAGAGATGATACGGGGGGCAAAATAAGACGTTAAATTGCTAGAATTCAGTCCGACAAACACTTGTAGATAAAGATTCACTCCATCGATCATCCAAAATATACAAACGACAGAAAGCAATGATTTTGTTAGAAGTGAAACGACGACTGTAAAATGCGAAAGGGTGTGGAGTAGACGGAATCGAGGACAAGCACGATCGTCGTCGATATTTACACAGGAAATTGCAGCTTCGTATCGGTTAACTGTATCAGTTTCGAGGAGCTTGTTTCGTTTAACGACTCCGCGGCACGTCGGACGTCGTAACCATCGGACAAAGTAATCGTGACCGTGGTGTCCATTGGCGGAACGTTATTGGCCGAGCCCGAGTTTCGCGAATCGAGAAGGAGAACGAACGACTCGAATGCTCGTTACCTCTTTCTTTTCGTTCCTCCTTTCTTTTTTTTCTCTTCTTCTTCTTCTCCGTTGTCGTCTTCTTCTTCTTCTTCTTCTTTTCTCTTTCTCAAAGGGTATATCGTTCCGTGTCACGGTCGAATAGTAAACCCGAACGCGTTAATCGAGCAAGGCAGACTTGTCTGCAATTAATTCCGCAATAAGGGCCAACCGTATGGCAATTTGCTAAGCTCCGTCGGTTTCTATTATCCCTGGGTCAGATTCAGGGATTCTGGATACGAAACCTGTTTCACCGATGCATCGAGAGTCCGCCTCACTCGCTCGCTCGCTGCCTGCCAGAGTTCAACGGCACTCGCCGTGGTTCGGCACATTGAACAGACATTTTTCACAACGACACGAGGACAAAAGGTGTACCTTGG